TCCTGAGTGGCAGAACTGTGGGAAGTTACTAGCAATAATAGCAGCTCAGCTAAGCAGAGTAGCAAATGTTCTAACCTCAGCATTTGAGAGGCTGAGGCAGAGGGACTGAGTTCCAGGCTGGCTTTGGCCTCCAGTGAGACTATCTCAAAATAATAATAGCAGGTAACATTTATTAAGCACGTCAACTGTGCTGGCATGTTCATTCCTTCCATTTCTGTCCTCAAATTAACCCACAGAGATGGATATCAATGTCCTTTCTCTAAAAGGCCTGCCCCATGGGACTTTTTTATATTTGTATCATTTGATGATGTACCCTGGGCTCCTTAAATACTTGCTGGCCATGCAAGCACTCAGTTACATGTTTGTTGAAGAACAGGTGAATTTCCATTTTGCAGACTAGGAAACCGAGGGCCCGAGCAGTAAGAAGCTTGCTCTGGGTAGGCAGCTGCTAAGTGCTACTTTTGGGCATCATACACTACAGGACTTTCTAAAAGGATGAACACATTGTGTAATCTGTTCCGTATGATAGCCACTAACCACATGTGGCTACTGAGGACTTAAAATGTGGCTAGTGAGTGGAAATCTGAATTTATACTTTTATATAAATCTTGACTAATTAAAGATGGCACTAGAAATAGTAGCACGTGGCTGATGGCAACTTCTCTGAGTAGCACAGCTTGGAGCTTACGGAGTTGATCACCAGAGACTAATGCCAGATTCTAGGATGTAAAGTGCACACAAGGTCAAGTTTCCCTGTGGCACTATAGAAATAGACTGGCTTTAGGTTCCACAGGGGAGAAGAAGGGAGGGGAGGGGAGGGTGGCCGTGAGTGGAGGTCCCAGCACATGTTTTTGCTCTCCTTCAGCCACAACAGCCTGGGTGGGCTTTCACCTGGGTTGTGGATGGTGTAAAGATTCCAGAGGGGATCTGGACAACTGAGGACAACCAGATGAGCCGGGGCAGAGTTCAAGGCCTGCAACCTTGAAGTCTCGAATCCCCACGCCTTGTCCTTTTATTGCTTAACAGAAGAGTAAGAAAGGTGCCATGCCCCCATGGGTGAATCAGGCTGTGGACACTACCAGTGGTGAGGGACCTCGGTGGTAACACACTAGAGCTGGGGTGTGACTCATTATGCACATAGTGGCTTCCAGATGGTAGCTCACTCCTCCTCCAGGTCTCTGTCCAGGCTGGCTGGTGGCTCCCTTCCCTTCGCATCAAAGGGTGATGCTGAGAGGTGCCTAAAGCAGATGATGGCCTGAGCGTCTACTCCAGACTTCATCAATTTTATCATGAATCAGAGTTTAAATAGAAGAGCACCGTATGGTTGGTTGGGAGTCTTGTATCATCAGCTAAGGTAACAGCTATGTCACAGACAGTTTGAAGAAACCATGGGTTGATTCATTGGACTTTGATGACACCACCAGAAGGAAGGAGCAGATTAGAGATGGGAAAACTAAGGCACAACAAAGTAAAGTAGCTGGAACCATTCACACATCAAGGGTGCAGCCATGCCAGGACTCATTCCAGGCCGGACTGGGGGAAATATGTTGAGGAGGAGGAGGAAGGGATGATAAACAACCCAGAAGGGAGGTCTTTTCTCTCTACTCAGAGATGAGGCAGCGCCACCCAGAACTGGCCTGTGTTCCCACTGTGACCTTCTCCACGCACTAGCTTCATCCTCTAAAGGCATCCTGGGCTTCCTAGGCCCACAGCAGATACAAACTTACAGATCGTGGGGGCCAACGATTCCCAGCAAAGACATGACTGGGGCTGGCCAGCAAGCCTGCTCTTCTGTGCAGAGCGGCAGCTATCTAGATTATTCAGCCCTGGGGAGGAAGGCCAGGCCAGGGACAAACAAACCTTTGGCAAGCAGAGCATTTAGAGAGCTGGCCCCACCTTCTGGACCCAGCCTTCTCCTCCAGGAGCCCAGTTGACCTCAGCGCTCTGCATTCTCTTCTGTGACATTCTCTCTCTCTCTCTTCTCTTTTTCTTTCTTTTTTTATGTTTTTATGCTGTCCTGGAGACAGAACCCAGGCCTTCATACATGCTACACAAGCATTCTGCCCCTGAGGCACATCCCCAGTCCTAACTCTACTTCTGAACACAGAGGTTAAGCACAGAAATAGCACAGACCTCATTAGAGTGGGCCTCTTTGATGGCAATCCAAACTGTTTTCTATGGCCAGCTGTATGGGTCTGTTGCTTCTGGGGATACACAGTCCCTGCATTCAGAAAGACCCAAAGCTGAGGTTTAGATTGTTGTCTTGGACTTTTGAGTCACTTGACCTTGCATTTGTTCTGTATACAAAGCAGGTTGGGATGGTACAGCAGGCAATAGTTTTGGGGAGGTGTGCAAGAAAGGGCAAGCAGTATTCACCTCCATGTCATTTGTAACAGGGATGTTAGCTGCACATCCACCAATAGGGGAGGACCAGACACTTCCATTAGGACCAGGCTACAGGAGAGACTCTATTGACATGAGAAGAACTCATGTTGGCAAAAGAAAGAAAAAGTCACCAAAGAGTTCAAGCCACGTGATCTCGTTTGCATAGATGCACAGGGACTTCACAATGGGAAAGACTTTGGGAAGTATTTATTTTGTTTTTTGATTTTTTAGACAAGATCTCTATATACCCTGGCTGTCCTAGAACTCATAGCAATGACCCTGCCACTCCCTCCCAAAGTGCTAGGATTAAAAGGTGGGCACCTCCTGGTGGGCCATGCGTCCTTAAATGCCTACAGCTGCTCCTTTCGGTGGCTGATGTTTTCTCCTTTCTCGTTCTTCTGTTTCCTGAGTCTCTGTGGGGAGGATGTATCACTATGAGGCACTGTGCTAGCAGGGGTCAGGCTAGGATGCCAGCTCTGGAGGCTGACTGCCAGGCATCAGAGCTCTGCTTCTGAAAGATGGGTGACCTCAGGTAAGGGGTTTTCCTTCTCCAGGCCTCACCTTCCTGTAAACAGGAAGGGAAGGATGCCTTCCTCCCAGGGTCAAGGAGACCAAATGATTTCCTGTACATGCAGAGTTTAGAGCAGTGTCTAGGGCATAGTAAACTGCAGGTGCTGGCTGGCATAATTATTGTTGTTTAGAAATCATGTAATCTCGGCACTTAGGCTGAGGCAGAAGGACCGAGAGTTCTAGCCAACCCTGGCCACATAACAAAGCCCTACCTCAAGTGTATGATGATCCTCCTGCTTCTTCTTCCTGAGTGCTACGATTACAAGTGTGGTCCACCACTGTCGGCTGGCATTCACTGTTTTTGTAATTGAGGCAGAATGTTTTTTAAAAGGCAGAAAACAAACCTGGCATTGGTGGCGCACGCCTTTAATCCCAGCACTCGTGAGGCAGAGGCAGGCAGATCTTTGTGAGTTCGAGGCCAGCCTGGTCTACAGGGCGAGTTCCAGGACAGCCTCCAAAACAATACAGAGAAACCCTGTTTCGAAAAAACAATAAATAAATAAATAAAATATCTTAGGTTGTCTATGGCAACAAGCTAAAGAGGCAGTAGAACGGAGTTCAAAGTCAGCTTGATCTACCTTTAAGAAAATCTCTAGGGCTGGAGAGATGGTTCAGAGGTTAAGAGCACGGACTGCTCTTCTAGAGGTCCTGACATTCCCAGCAACCACATGGTAGCTCACAACCATCCATAATGAGATCTGGCGCCCTCTTCTGGCATGCAGACATAAATGGAGGCAGAATGTTATATTCATAATAAATAAATAAATCTTTAAAAAAAAGACAATCTCTAGCTAAATCTTTTTTTAATTTATTTTTTACATTCCAATCCCAGTTCCCCCTCCATCCTCTCCTCTCCTCCCCATCTAGCTGAATCTTGATAGATAATAGGTGGTCTTGAATTTATACTCACATAGATATGCAACTAACAATACTCTCATGTGAAAACGTTTTTATCACCACCCCCAAAAGCCCCCAATCTTCCTTTGTTAGTTGTCCCAACTACCCCACCCTTGGCATCCTCTACTGTATTTCCTGGCTTTCACCTTTTCCTGTTTGAACATTTTACTTATGTCTTTTGTTTTCAAGTGGTTTGCTTTTTTGAGACAAACCCTCACTATGTAGTCCTTGAACTCCTCATCTTCCTGCTTTAGCCTCTGAGAATGACAGCTGTGTGCCACCAAATGCAGCGGGAGTGTCCTTTTGTGTCTAGCTTCTTTCCCATATTGAAACCTCTTCAAGATTCTTCCAGACTATAACTTGAGTGAAGTTTGATAATTGATAAATGAATTAATGATGATCTCAGCTCAACAAATATTTACTGAGAGGCCATGTACCTGCCATGGCAAAGGATTATAACATTTGCTGGAGGGCTTCAAGGGAAAAAAAACAGAAAGAAAAGGAGGAAGGGAGGGAAGAAAAGGAAGGAAAGAATTACGTAAAGTATTATGTATCAACTAGGGCAAGGTTGAGGGCCATGTGGTTGAAGCCCTGGGCAGAAAGAAAGAAAGGAAGGAAGGAAGAAAGAAAGAAGGAAAGGGAGAGAAAATAGTAAAAGAAAGAAAAGAACAAGGAAAAGGTAATAGTAATCGATTAGGATAAATAAACAGTACGGAGAAGCAAAAGGCAGAACACAGCTTGCAGGGAGTGTAGCTATTAGCAGAGAGGTCAACAAAGGCCTCTTTTCAGAGTGGGCAGGGTACAGACAGCTATCCCGGAGCTCCCTGACCCGCCCTGAGGTCTGTCCCACAGAGCCACCTAGTGTCCCGGCTCCCGAGACGTGTTCTGTGGAGCATGCCTGGCCAGCCTAGGAGACAGCTGAGGTCCGGCTGAGCGAGATGAATAGTTAAAAACCCTGGGTGCCTCTACCAGAACCTTGCTGGTTCAGCTCCTTTCCGCCCACAGACCCCGCCCCTAAAACTGCGCCCCGCCCCCAAACTACTGTGCGCCCTCCCGCCTGTTAGCCTCCAACAGACCCGCCCCTCAGACGTCGCTCCGCCCTCCTCCCGTCCGACCCCGCCTCTCGTCCCGCCTTCCTGCCCCGCCCCTCAGCCGCCATTGACTGTGCGGGCTCGCACTTCCTTGCAGAGGGATGGCTGTGCTTCGGGCGAGCCCAGTAGCCCCGCAGCTCACGCTGCTCTGACAGCGGCTTGCAAGCGGGCGCGATTCGGGCCCGCGGCTGCACCGGTGCGGCCCACGCCTCCCTCAGCGCCTCAGCGCCTGCTGGGCGGGACCCGGGACGGTGAGTGCAGCCTGTGCTGCGTGCTGGATCCCAGGGACCCCGGGCGGGGGCTGTGCACCTTCACCTCACCTGCTTGCACGTAGCCCAGGATGCATCTGGCGGCCACAGATACGGAACCAGAGACTAAGGCGAGCCCGGCACTGGTACGCTTTCTCTGGATCCCTTGGCCTAGAAAAGAATGCTCTCAGACTGTGAGGAACCAGAGATCTGGCTGGCCACCCTAAGTACATGGGCAGAGAGGGTATCTATGTTTTCCTCTCTGTGACCTTGGGTGGGCCCCTCAACCTCCTGCCCAACCACGGTGTGGGCACAAATGGTGCCCAGTCTCAGCCGGCCAAGGTGAACCGAGGGAGTCAGGGGTATGCAGTTTAGATGCCGTTTGTGGCTGAACTGCTTCCTTTCTCTCTGGGCCTCCAGCAACCCGGGGACAGTCAGAGAGTTCCTGTATGGTTACAGCTTAATCACAAAGTTACTAGTTTTCTCCAAAAGATCCACTTGTTTCTTCTTTCCCAGGAAGAGTGGAGCAGAATTCTTTCTTCCTTCATGGGAACACTGGAGCCCCCTCTCCCCACTTATCTCATAACCGTGCTGACTTCTTATCACATTGTTCTGTTTTAGCAAAGACTCTTTGTTCAGTAGGTAAGAAAATGATTCTTGTGGACTCAGCAGAACTGGGGAAAAGTTCTTCTTGGAGCCCCAACCCCAGTATATGTGTTATGCCTGAGTTGGTTTTGTAAGGAAAATAAGGGTAGAGTAGTTAAGACTGGCAAAGGCAGACTCATCTTTACAGGCTGTTGATTAGACAGCGACCGGCTGCACCTTTCCAACCTTCCCAAAGCATGGATGGAGGCTGGGTTCTCTGTGGGCGCCTTTGGGCCTAGCTTATTTTAGGGAAGTTGCAAGTGTTGACTTTGGGCTGTTTTCAGTTGTCCCCTTGTCAGTATGTCCCCCTGCCTCTCCCTCATTATCCCCTGCCCCCAACATATAGGGGTGGGGAATTGCAGTAAACTTCAAGCATGCAGAATGTTCCTGACCACAGTTGGGGAAGCAAGCTGAGCCGAATTTCTGAGTCAAATTAAGTTTAACCTAACAGGTTTATTTCTTCCTATGTGCCCCCTGCCAATGCCCTCCTAGTCTTCCAAGTCCCCCAAAGCCTGGTGCCCAGGTGTTCACAAGTTGTGTGGCATTTTAATGCAGGTAGAAACATCATGTGTCACATCTGTAGATTTGATCAGAAAGGTCAGCCCAGCAGGACTGCTCTTGTACAGTACAGCTTTAGAGTACAGAGCAAGCAACAGAGAGGTCTCTTTCTTCATGCCAGCCCTGCCACATCCTCCTAGCTGTAGGATGGTGTGTGGTTTATTTCTTTTATTTTTTTAAGTTTTTTTAAGTTTATTTATTATGTATACAGTATTCTGGCATGTAGATGGTTGTGAGCCACCATGTGGGAACTGGGAATTGAACTCAGGACCTCTGGAAGCACAACCAGTGCTCTTAACCCCTGAGCCATCTCTCCAGCCCCTATGGTTTATTTCTTACCTCTATGGTTACCTCTTTTTTAAATCAAGGACAGTGTAGGGATGATCTCATGGGGCTATACGGAAGAAGGTAAATGAAGACTCAAAGAAATCCCGAGGATGGCTCCCAAAGCAGAGTTTGTGCCTATTAGTCACAACTGCCTCTCACCCTTCACCCTGGTCAAGTCTGAACCTTGTCTCCTATACTAAGATAGAGGGCCCAGATTTGGTGGTCATACATTAACTGGCATTATGACAGTTTTAAAAGTTCTCATCTGTAAAATGGGACATTAGCTGGGCTGATGTATGGCAGGAGTTAAATGAGGTAGCAAGTGGAAGTCCCTTAGCTTGGATCCAGGATATATCCAGACTCTAAAGCAATGACTGTCATGAAACATGAAAATTCTACCATAGCCAAAAGGCAGAGTTTGGATTAAACATCAAAAGATGGGGGTTGAGCCATTGAGATGGCCCAGTGGATAAAGGTGTCTGCCACCAAGCCTGACAACCTGAGTTCAATCCCTGGTTCCCCTAGGATGGAAAAAAAGAATTTAACTCTCCCAGGCTTTCACAAAATAAATAAGTAAAAGTTAAGGGGGGAAAACATGAGCATGGGACACAGACTAAATGCTGTGAGGTACCAGACTTTAGATGCTAAAGGGACGGGACTTAAATGTAAATAAAGGAAGTTGCCCCCTTGCTCCCAACCAAAAACCATAAAATGGGCTCAGAGTTTGAGGAACTATGATACCCATACAGATACCCAAGGACCTGAAAAAAACCAACTAGCCTATCTCCTGCTCCACAGTTCCCAAATAAAACAGCTTATTTTTTTTAAAAAAACAACTCGCCCCCCTTCCCCACATACACCTAGACTTTGCACGGTGTGCCGTCCTGTGCACCAGAGAGACACACTTCAGATTAATATAGTCTGCTCTTGTTGAGGGCTCTCTGTTTCCATTTCTTCAATTTCGTCTGCAAACTTGGTTCTTAAACTAAGCAGTTACGGCAGACTGACTTTCCACACAGTATCTTGTTCTGTCTTACGCTCCTTCATGGGATGGTTTCTTCATTTGCTGACAGTGGTGTCTGCCAGCAGGGCCTGCAGCTAATTAATAACCAACCTGGAGTTAATGCTGCATGCTCAGGAATGCTATTCTCATTGTAGGTCTGAAATTACCCACAATGGAAGCAGGCAAGCAGATGCGAGTGTCTCGGCCATACAAAATCAGTGAATCTTCAAAGGTACGTGAGCAATCCCTCCCCACCCATGGTATCAATTCTGACAGCCACTGACTTCTGGCTGGTGTCTCCTTAACTGTGTCCACGTGTGGGTTTGTAGAGGAGCTCCAGCATATAGCTCTCGCTACTGTTACCATGGGACTTCTCCCTTCATTGGCTTATCAACTCCAATATGAGTCTCATGGAGAGCCCAGCCTCTGACCCTAAAGTTGGACTTACTTTCCGGATATTGAGACCCAAGGTATACAAGGTGTAGTGGAATACACTTATAATCCTAGCACTCAAGAAGTAGAGGCAGAAGGATCAGAAATTAAAGATTACCCTCAGCTACATAACAAGAGGAGGGAAGGGCTGGGCGTGGTGGCTGTCCACAAGACAGGAAGAGAAGAGGAAGAAGAGAGAGGAGGGGAAGGACAAGAAGAAAACACAAGGAAAACAGACTAAAAACAAATACTGGTCCATTCAAGGCACACCAACAAGAATGGCTGGCATGAGAAGGACTGCATTCCTACAGTTGTGTCCCTGGGTTCTCAGCCTAGAATCTGAGAGTGAAAACATGCATCAGATAAATGGTGACGGCTGTGGGCTCCTGAGAGCAGAGAACATGGGGTAGGGAGGGTTTAGTTCCCCTCGGAGCCTCAAGTACAGTAACCAACGTTTCCCAAGTGCCTGCTGGGCTGTCTCATTGATTCCCTACATCTAAATGATAAACATGCTCATTTTGTCAGACAGGAAGTGGGTCCATGGCCCACCTGAGACCACACACCCAGCAGGATGCAGAGCTGGAGTTCTAACTTTGGTCCATCTGATTTTAAGTGGTGGGGGACAGCACCACTTTTCTGATGGGAAAACATTTACAAAATATCTATCATGACCTAGAAGAAGGAAGAAAGGAGAGAAAGAAGGGAAGACAGAAGAAAGTAAGTTCTTAGACTCCTGGCTATAAAGGAGGAAGACAGAGAAAGCACAGTTTCTTTTGTTGTCTTTGTTTCTGCTTTTTCAAGACAGGGTTTTTCTATGTAGCACTGACTGTCCTGAACTCACTCTGTAAAGCAGGCTGGCCTCAAGCTTACAGAGATCTGCCAAGCAGACAATTTCTAGGAATTACATATAGTGGGACTGGCTAGGTGACTCAACATACAAAGTCACTTGCTGCTCATGTCCCACAGACAACCTGCGCTCCATGCCTAGAACGTTCGAGATGGAAGAAAAGCTGTCCTCTCCCCCCCAAATTCACACTGTGGTGTGTGCATGTACATGTGCTAATAAATATTTTACTCTGTTTTATTTTATTTGAGACAATGTCTCTATGGAGTCCTGGCTGGCCTGGAACTTTCTAGGTCGAACAGTACTGGCCTTGACCTCACAGAGGCCCTCCTGCCTCTGCCGCTGAGTGCTAAGTTTTAGACATGTGCCACCACACCCAGCCAAATTTTTAAAACATTTCAGGCGGGAGGGCAAGAAGAGAGGAGAATGCTCTCAGAAGCACCCGTGATGTTCTGGTGTTTACTTTAGTGGCTCTTATGCCGTCTTACAACAATTGCTGTTACCTCTGGGCTGATTGTGGTCCCTGAAGACTGTGGACAGCAGGCCTGTGCTTTCTCTCCTGATGTGTCTTCTCATGCAGGTGTACCACTGGGCTGACCATTCCACCTCAGTGCTGCAGCGGCTGAATGAGCAGCGGCTGCATGGCCTCTTCTGTGACGTGGTCCTCGTGGTTGAAGAGCAGCAAGTGCCTGCCCACCGCAACCTTCTGGCTGTGTGTAGCGACTACTTCAACTCCATGTTCACCCTGGGCATGCGTGAGGCTTTCCAGAAGGAGGTGGAGCTGGTTGGTACCTCCTGCGTGGGGCTCAAGGCTGTGGTGGACTTCCTCTACAGCGGTGAGCTGGAGCTGGACGGCAGCAACATTGACTACATCCTGGAAACGGCGCACCTGCTGCAGGTCTGGACAGTGGTGGACTTCTGCTGCGAGTACCTGGAGCAGGAGGTGAGTGAGGACAACTACCTCTACCTGCAGGAGCTGGCCTCCATCTACAGCCTCAGGCGGCTGGATGCCTTCATTGACAGCTTTGTGCTGAAACACTTCAGCATACTGGCCTTCACGCCTGACTTCCTGCAGACCGTCTCTGTGCAGAAGCTGTGCGACTACCTGAGCAGCGACCAGGTGCAGCACGCCTGGGAGTATGACCTGCTGCAGGCCGCTCTGCAGTGGCTCACTCAACAGCCGGAGCGCGAGGCGCACACCTGCCGCGTGCTGGAAAACATCCGCTTTCCCCTCTTCGCTGAGGACGCCCTGCTCCAGCGAGTGAAGCTGGCCATGTGCTCGCTGTTGCCCAGTGAGGCCAACTGCGAGGGCTTCTTGGAAGAGGCCTTGCACTACCACAGCAGCCTGGTGGCACAGCCCGTCCTGCAGACGAAGCGAACAGTGCTACGCTCTGAGGAGTGCTTGCTCTTCGTGGGAGGTGAGGTCTCCGAGCGGTGTCTGGAGCTGAGCGATGACACCTGCTACCTGGACACCAAGAACGGACAGTGGGTGAAGGAGACATCCCTGCCAGCCCGCCGGAGCCACCACTGCGTTGCTGTGCTAGGGGGCTTCATCTTCATTGCTGGTGGCAGCTTCTCAAGAGACAACGGAGGGGGTGCAGCCTCCAACCTTCTTTATAGGTATGACCCCCGCCGTAAACAGTGGATCAAGGTGAGATTAAAGCAGACTAATTTGTTACTCTTGAGGCCTCCCTCTTTGCAGTGCCCTAACCTCACTTCCTGTTCGGGGGCCTTGACGACTGCCCTGCTCCTGAGAGAGTTGTGATGATAAAGTGATGGGCCGTATCATTGCTGCCCTCCTTATGCCTCCACCAGGGGAGGGGGTCAGGGAAGGCCCAGCAACTATCTGAAGGGCTGGCTGTTGCCCAAAGCAGCATTCTTTGATGGAACTTTCTGAGGGTGGGAATTCTGGGTCTGCCCTGTGTCCAACACAGTGGCCACTGGCCCTATGTGGCCACTGAGAGCTTGAAATGTGGCCGGTGCACATTTTCAATCTTATCTAATGGCAACTAACAGCTATTAAGTGTCAATGGCCGCTCCAGGCTCCATGACAGGGCTCAGTCAAGCAAGAGCCCCCATGCCTTAGCGCCTCTGCTGGGCTTCTCTTGTGGAGAGGTTTGGGGAGTATCATGTTCAGGAAGCCACGAAGCTCCATGCATCCTAGGGCCAGTGTGGAGTCTGCACATCAGCCCTGTTTGTGCACCCTAGGGGAGTGTATTGGTTACCGTCCTGTGGCCAGGAAAAGACACCATGACCAAGGCAACTCTTACAAAAGAAAGCATTTAGCCCTGGAGAAAGGACTCGGTGAGTTAAGAGCACTGGTTGCTCTTGCAGAGGACCAGAGTTCAGTTCCCAGCACTCCACAAGTTGCTCATGAACATCCACGACTCCAGTTCCAGGGGATTTGAGGTCTTCTGACCTCCATGAGCAAAAGACATACACATACATATGTGCAGGCAAAACACCCATATGTAGGATATAAAATAAATACGTTTTACAGAACGCATTTGACTGGGGGCTTGCTTACAGCTTCAGAGGGTTAGTCCATTATCATGGCCAAGAGCAGACAGGCATAGTGCTAGAGCAGTAGCTGAGAGCTTTACATTTTCATCCACAGGCAGCGGGTAGAGAGACTGGGCCTGGCATGAGCTTTTGAAGCCCCACAACACACCTCCTCCAACAAGACCACACCTCCTAATCTTTCCCAAACAGTTCACCAGCTGGGACTTGGCATGCAAGTATGTGAGCCTGTGGGGGCCACAGTCATTCATCCCTCCACACTGAGCAAGTGAAGGCCGAGGAGCTTCACGCTGGCTCCTTGGCCTCTCCAAGCTTCCCATTCCACTCTGGATATGCCTATGGCCTTGTGGGCCTAAGAGGAAGGTAGCCTGAGTTAATTGGCATATGTATGGCTGAAGTGACGTGTCCCCTCTCCAGTCACCTTTCTGGACTGCCACACACTGAAATCCATCTTTATGCTCACACCTCTGTGTGACTAATTGCCTCAGCGTTTGCTGAATTTAACACCTGTCAGGCGTGGCGGCTCACACCTGTATTCCCAGGATACAGGAGGATTGCCACAAATCTGAAAGCATAGATTAAGACCTTGTTGCAAAAATAAAACCAAAATGGATTCCGGGTGGCCTTTCAATTCTATGGTTAAAACTCCAACTTGATCAGGTGGTAGTGGCACACGCCTTTAATCCCAACACTTGGGAGGCAGAGGCAGGCAGATCTCTGTGAGTTTGAGGCCAGCCAGGTCTACATGGAGCAACTCTATCTTGAAAGACCAAAATAAAATAAAATAAAAAAAAACCAGCCAGGTGTTGGTGGCACACGCCTTTAATCCCAGCACTCGGGAGGCAGAGGCAGGTGGATCTCTGTGAGTTTGAAGCCAGCCTGGTCTACAGAGCGACTTCTAGGACAGCCTCCAAAGCCACAGAGAAACCCTATCTCGAAAAACCAAAAAAATAAAAAAACAACCTCTAACCTGGGCCAGCAAGATGACTAAGGAGAAAATCAACTACACAGAGTTGCCCTCTGACCTCTCCACAGGTCATGGCATGCATGCCCCCCCATGCACATATACACAATAATAACACCTTTTAAATTTTTTAAATTAATTTACTTTTTACATACCAATCCCAATTCCCCCTCCCTCCTCTCCTCTCACTACCCCCCCCACCTTCTATCTGCTCCTTAGAGAGGGTTAGGCCTCTCCTAGGTAGTCTATCAAGTCTGTCCCATCATCTTGTTAAGGCAGGCCAAGGCACCTCTCCACCCCCCCATACCCTTGTGTCTAGGCTGGACAAGGTATCTCTCCATATAGAATGGGCTCCACTAACTCAGCTTGTGCATTAGAGTTAGATCTTAGACCCATTGTCAGTGGCCTCCATATATTGTCCCAGTCACACCATTGTCACCTATATTAAGGGAGTCTAGTTTGGTCTTATGCAGGTTCCACATTTGTCAGACCTGAGTCAGTGATCTCTCACTAGCTCAGGTCAGCTGATTCTGTGGGTTTCCCCATCATGGTCTTGACTCCTTGGTTCATATTATCGCTCCTCCCTTGCTTCTGTTGTATTCTATGAGCTTAGCCCAATGGTTAGTTATGGATTTCTGCATCTGCTTCCATCTGTTTCTAGAAGAGGGTTCTCGTTTCTCCGGGGTTGTGGATTGTAGGCTGGGTATCTTTTGCTTTATATTCTGGTATCCACTTATGAGTAAATACATACTATATTTGTCTTTCTGGTTCTGGGTTACCTCACTTAGGATGTTTTTTTCCTAGTTCTACCCATTTGCTTGCAAATTTTAGGATGTCATTGTTTCTCACCACTGAGTAGTACCCCATTGTGTAAATATACTACATTTTCTTTATCCATTCTTCAGGTGAGGGGCATCTAGGTTGTTTCCAAGCTCTGGCTATTATGAATAATACTGCTATGAACATAGTTGAGCAAATGTCCTTGTCCTGTGAATGTGCCTTCTTTGGGTGTATGCCTACCAGTAGTATTGCAGGGTCTTGAGGTAGGTTGATCCCTAATTTTCTGAGAAATACCTACACTGATTTCCACAGTGGCTGTACAAGTTTGCACTTCCACCAGCAATGGAGGAATGTTCCCCTTTCTCCACATCCTCTCCAGTGTAAGCTGTCATTGGTGTTTTTGATCTTAGCTATTCGGATCAATATAAGATGGAATCTCAGAGTGATTTTGGTTTGCATTTCCCTGATAATTAAGGATGTTGAGCATTTCCTTAAGTGTCTTTCCACTGTTTGAGATTGTTCTGTTGAGAATTTTCTGTTTAGATCTGTAACCCGGGTTTTTAATTGGGTTATTTGGTAGTTTGATGTCTAGTTTCTTGCGTTCTTTATATTTTGGAGATCAGCCCTCTGTCAAATATGGGGTTGGTGAAGATCTTTTCCCATTCTGTAGAGAGCCATTTTTGTCTTGTTGACCATGTTCTTGGCTTTACAGAAGCTTCTCAGTTTCAGGAGGTCCCAGTTACTAATTGTTGCTCTCAGTGTCTGTGCTACTGGTGTTCTATTTAGAAAGTGGTCTCCTGTGCCTCTGCACTCAAGTGTATTTCCCATTTTCTCTTCTATGTGGTTCAGTGTGGATGGATTTATATTGAGGTCTTTGATCCATTTGGACTTGAGTTTTGTGCATGGCGATACATATGGACCTATTTGCATTCTTCTACATGTCCATAGTTATATCAGCACCATTTGTTGAATATGCTTTCTTTTTTCCATTTTCCATTTTCAGCTTCTTGGTCAAAAATTAGGTGTTTATGGTGTGTGGGTTGATATCAGGGTCTTCAATTTGATTCCATTGGTCCACCTGTCTGTTTTTATGCCAATACCAAGCAGTTTTCATTACTGTAGCTCTATAGTAGAAGTTGAAGTCAGGGATGGTGATGCTCCCAGATGATTGATCCTTTACTGTGCAGGATTGCCTTGGCTATCCTGGGTTTTTTGTTTTTCCATATGAAGTTGAGTATTGTTCTTTCATGGTCTGTGAAGAATTGTCCTGGAATTTTGATGGGGATTGCATTGAATCTGTGGATTGCTTTTGGAAAGATTGCCATTTTTACTATGTTCTTTATTCAAAAATCTAATGGGAGAGGGCAGCACACATCATTAATCCCAACACTCAGGAGGCAAAGGCAGGTAGATCTCTGAGTTGGAGGCCAGCCTGGTCTACAGAGCAAGTTTCAGGATAGTCAAGGCTACACAGAAATCCCCTTTCAAAAACAAAAGCAAAAACAAAAAAGCCCTTCAAACCTAAAAGCTAAGTGAGGCCTCTGGGAAGCCCAACGTTGGAGTTGAAAAGCTGATGACAGAGGCTGGGCTTGTGGTCTCCTGGTTATAAAGGCTAGAGCTTCTACTTCCCAACTGCCTGTGGGGTGTTACTGTCTTAGTTAGGGTTTCTATTGCTGTGAAGAGACACCATGCCCACGGAAACTCTTATACAGGAGAAATTTAATTGAGGTGGCGTACAGTTCAGAGGTTCAGTCCATTATCATGATGGGGAGCGTGGCAGGATGCAGACAGAAGTGGTGCTGGAATAGTAACTGAGTCTTGCAGGCAGCAGGGCAGTATCTTGAGCATATGTGAGACCTCAAAGCCTGCCTCCACAGTGACACACTTCCTCCAACAAGATCACACCCACTCCAATAAGCCACACCTCCTAATAATGCCATTCTCTTTGGGGGTCATTTTCCTTTAAACCACAGCATTCCACTCCCTGGCCCCCAAAGACTTGTAGCCATACCATAATGCAAAAATGCATTCAGTCCAACTTCAAAAGTCCCCATAGTCTCTAACAATCCCAAACTTGTTTCAAAGTCCAAAGTCTCTTCTGAGTCTCATGGCACTCTCTTAACTGTAATTCCCTGTAACATTAAAATAAAAAACCAGAACACATACTTCCAACATATAATGGCACAGGATATACATTGCCATTCCAAAATGTGGGGAAGAGAGCATAGTGAAGAAATACTAAACCAGAGCAAGACCGAAAACCAGCTGGGCAAACTCCAAAATCTTCATTTCTATGTCTGATGTCAAAGCGCTCTTCAGATCTCTAACTCCATTCAGCTTCGTTGACTGCAATACCCTTCTCTCTCTTGGGCTGGTTCCTCTCCCTGTTAGCAGCTCTCCTCAGCAGGTTTCCCGTGGCTCTAGCATCTCCAACACGTCTAAGGCAACCCAGGCTTCAACTTACAGCTTCCCACAATGGCCTCCCTAGGCCTTCATTCAGGGACACGCCTGACACGCGCCTGGCCTCAGCAGCTTTGTTTCATAACCTCTTTCTTGGATCCTTAACTCTAAAGTCAGAACCGTGTAACTGAAGCTGCCAACTGCTTGCTGGGGCTGGAACATGCCCACCTTGTTCAGTTACATCTTCACCAGCTTTCTGTTCTTCATTGCCTAAACTTGGCTGTCCTGAAACTTTTTCTGTAGTCCAGGCAGGCCTCAAACTTTTTTATCTCCTTGAACACAGGATTTAGCTCCATTCCACTTTCTGGTGCTCTTTTTTTTCTCCTCAAAATTTACATTTTGTAATTTATTCTGCTCAGCTTGCTCATTTTCATAATAAATCTTCATTGGAGTTACCACTAATAACCACACAACAGAGTCTATACTAGGCTATTTTAAGATTTCCTCCGCCAACTGAATTAATCCAAAACCCTTACTTTAGCCTCAGGCAGACTTGTCAGACAAGGACAAAAAGCAGCCACTTTCTTCACCAGAATATCATAAGAACAATATCTAGCCAGCGGTGGTGGCACATGCCTTTAATCCCAGCACTCAGGAGGCAGAGGCAGGCAGATCTCTGTGAGTTTGAGACCAGCCTGGTCTACAAGAGCTAGTTCCAGGACAGCCTCCAAAGCCACAGAGAATCCCTGCCTCGAAAAACAAAAACAAAAAACCAAAACCAAAAACCCAGTATCTAGGCAACATACTAAAATTCTTCTCCTCTGAAACCTCTTGAAGGAGTTCCCAACAGTTCATCAAATCACACTCAGCACCACTGTCTCCCACCCTCCTGCTAATATGGCCCATTAAGCAGCAGTTGAAGTGTGCTTTTCTAATCCCCAGTCGCAAAGTTCACATTACTCCAAACAAAAACATAGTTAGGTGTAGAGTATAGTCTTCTCCGCCATCCGCTTGGGCCCTGCCACAGTTGCAGTCCCCAAATAATGCACAAGATACTATATTAATTATGAAGCTGTTGGCCGTTTGCTTGTTTTTTTACTGGCTAGCTCTGATTTAAGTATTTAACCCATAATTGTTAATCTAAATATTTCTCTTACCTGAGAAAGGGGTCCAGACCTCTTACTCCTCTGGTGGGCTACATTGTGTCTCCCTGTCTCTTTCCCAGAATCCTCCTTGAATCCTAGTCCCACCTATCTTGCTTCCCTATTGGCCGACATTGCTTTATTCAACAACCAATAAGAGACAGATTTACAGAATGACATCTCCCATCAGTTAGGCCTATCACAGAAACACCCCAGTCCCTGGTATCAGCTTCTTAGTTAGATTTTGTGTTTCTGTGAAGAGACACCATGACCACGGCAACTCTTCTTCCTTTTTTTTTTTTTTTTTTTTTTTTTGGGGGGGGGGTTCAAGACAGGGTTTCTCTGTGGCTTTGGAGGCTGTCCTGGAACTAGCTCTTGTAAACCAGGCTGGTCTTGAACTCACAGAGATCCACCTGCCTCTGCCTCTCAGAGTGCTGGGATTAAAGACGTGCGCCACCAATACCCAGCTACAAGGCAACTTATAAAGAAAAGATTTAATTGGGCTGGCTTACAGCTCAGAGGTTCAGTCCATTATCATCATGACAGGACATGGCAGCATGCCGGCAGACATGGTGCTGGAGTAGTAGCCAAGAGTCCTGCATCTTTCAGGAAAGAGGTCATGACACTGACTGAAATGGTTTGGTTTGACTTGGTTTGGTTTTGGTTTTTCCAGACAGGGTTTCTCTGTAGCTTTGGAGGCTGTCCTAGAACTCACTTTGTAGACCAGGCTGGCCCTCAAACTCACAGAGATCCACCTGCCTCTGCCTCCCGAGTGCTGGGATTAAAGGTGTGCTCCACCAATGCCCAGCAACACTGAGCAAAGTTTAAACAAAAAACTTCAAAGCCCTCCGCTACAGAGACCACTTCCTCCAGCTAGGCCATAACAAAGCCACACCTCCCAGTGGTGCCACTCGCTTTGGGGGTCATTTTCTTTCAAAGCACCACTGTCACTTTCTGCTCTGTTAACATGGATGGTGACCAGTGGATCAGCATAAATTTTTTTAAAAATTCAGCCAGATTATGCTTCCATGGTAGGGCATTGCTCAGCATGCTGGAATCCCAGGTGGGGAAGAAGGGAAAACTGGTTTTGTTTAAAATTTCAAATTTTATATGGATTTTTTTATTTGACATTATGTGTATGAGTGTTATGTTATTCTTGCATGTACGTGTGAACACCATATGCATGCCTGGTGTCTGAGGAGGTCAGAAGAGCACAGAGATTGATTTTTTTTTAGAAGTCGTTAATTTCTTGTATAATGTCAGGCCATAAGATTGGCTGCGTGGTCAAACCAGTTTCAGGAGATGTGCCCATCACCTCTTGAGGATTTGAGTGTCTGATGGAAGCATCAGGGTTCTCAGAATTCCCACCGGTAGCCACCCATTTTTCTTAAGTTCAGGCCCCTCTCCCCAGCTCATCTGGCCACTGTCTGGCCCTACTGGGCCATTGACTCTGTGGACACAGTTAAGGAACATGGTGCGAGGGCTTGGGAAGGGAAGCTTCAAGTGTCTCACCCTCACAGGTGGCATCAATGAACCAGCGCCGTGTGGATTTCTACCTGGCCTCCATTGAAGACATGCTGGTGGCTGTTGGCGGCCGGAACGAGAATGGAGCCCTGTCTTCTGTAGAGACCTACAGCCCCAAGACCAACTCCTGGACTTATGTGGCTGGCTTGCCAAGGTGATGAGGGCTTGAGGCCAACTGCTGGAAGGTGATATTGTCGCAGGATAAAGTTTAGTCTTGTTTTCATAATGTCTTGGTTTTTCCGTAATGGGGTAGGCTATGAGGAGCTGAGGGTGGTTGCAGCTCAAGACAATCATCCTCCAGTTTCCAAGTTGGCCGGGGCCCTGGACTTCAGAGAGTGAGTGTTAAGTAGGGATGGTAAGTCCCTTACTAGAAGGCCCGACTGGGTGTAGGCAGGAGGTCAGAAGGGCACTGGCCTCACCCCACCTGTGTTTTAGTTACACACCTGCAGAATTGGTACTGCAGCACAGCCTGGGGAAAGTTAGACATCTCTGTGACATTCTCATGTGGCCTCCAGCAGGCAGGGAGTGCTCCAGAGATAGTGGTGTACTCCGCCCTCACCAGACCTGCAGCTAGGTATGGGGTCACTGAGTGTGGGCTGTGTTGTGGTTCTGCCAAACCTGCACACTTCTGTCTACCACACCTATGCTACACCTAAACCCAGACTCTGAACCATCCTGGCTGTGGGAGGGTATCTTGGGGATGTGGTCCCCCAGAGTTAGCAAGGTATGTAGGTATGTGGGCTTAGAGTGAATCTGTGTTTTAAAGTCATAATTGAGTCTGGCAGAGGGGCTTATTACCTATAATCCCAGTACCCAGGAAGTTGAGGCAGGGGATTGAATTTGAGTCCATGATAGACTACATAATGAGACTTTGTCTCAAGTGAATAAATATGGATTCCAGAAACCAGGGGCTTCCTGGACACTGTTGGTGAGCAGGTGACACTCTGTATCACTATGACTAGGTCCTGGGCATCCGTACCAACCTGGTGTGTGGAGAGGTAGCCAGAGAGACAGTGAGCAGGTGGCCAGTGCTGTAAGGGATTGCCTGTTGATAGGCTCCCTGAGAGAGCACCGTATCGCCATTTATCAGACAATATGAAGCTGGTAGTCATGCTAAGAGCAGGGGCCACCACCACTGTCTTGGGACAATGGTGTGGGAGTGGGATTATTTCTAAGGAGAGCTCCTGTGCTCTCAGTTGGTGAAGTCCATGACGTCGTCATCGGCAGTGTGTATACAACCCACATGTATGAGTTTCCTAACCAGCCTTCCTCAGTCATCGCCTCGTTGGCATAGCAGGCCTGCACAAACCCCACCTGAGCCAGGAGCTAGGCCTGACCCATCCCTCCCGCCTGCCCTGGGCTCTTCCTGTGAACTCCAGCCGCCAGCCTCTCCAGGCCTGATCGCCATCTAACCGCATGACACAAGCTTTCATGTCTCCTGAACTTTATTTTTGGGTTTTGTGGGGTTTTTGTTTTTTACATTCAGTGTGTGTGTGTGTGTGTGTGTGTGTGTGTGTGTGTGTGTGTGTGTGTGTGTGTGTGATTGTACACATGCAGGTCCCACAGCAGACACAGGGTAGACAGAAGACAACTTGCAGGAGTTGACCTCTTCTTCCACCATGTAGGCTCTAGGGATCAAACTCAGGTCATCAGGCTTGGCAGCAAGCACCTTTACCCACTGAGCCTTCTCCCCAACCCTCTCTGACATTGTTTGAGACCCGTATTTATAGATCTCACTTTGTAGCCTTAGCTGGCCTAGAACTCACAGAGATCTCCCAGCTAAGCGCTAAGATTAAAGGTGTGCATCACAGGACCAGTTAAACAGCCTTTTTGTCCCTTTTTTCCACTTTGATACCATTTAGAGGAGTCAGGCTTACAGAACACTGCACAGAAAGTGGAGTGTTCCCATGCATCCTCCCTGCGGCAGAGGCCACCTGCATTCTGTGCCCTTGTCCATTGACAGCCCAGATCTGTAAGGTGTCTGTGGTTTACCTGCTCTGTTTTCTCCTCCAACCCTCACGACCCCCTGAGAAGCAGGTTGTACCCCATTGACAGAAAGCCCAAGCCCCCTACTCACAAAGATAAGGCCGGACTCTGCTCTGAGCCCTTCTGTCTTCCGGCCTCTCTACAGGTTCACCTATGGCCATGCAGGCACCATCTATAAAGACTTCGTGTACATCTCAGGTGGCCATGACTACCAGATCGGCCCGTACCGCAAGAACCTGCTGTGCTACGACCACCGGACGGATGTGTGGGAGGAGAGGCGGCCCATGACAACAGCACGAGGCTGGCACAGCATGTGCAGCCTGGGTGACAGCATCTATTCCATTGGGGGCAGTGATGACCACATGGAGTCCATGGAGCGCTTTGATGTGCTGGGCGTGGAGGCCTACAGCCCACAGTGCAACCAGTGGACCCGTGTGGCACCACTGCTGCAAGCCAACAGTGAGTCGGGCGTGGCTGTCTGGCAGGGCCGCATCTACATCCTGGGTGGCTACAGCTGGGAGAGCACGGCCTTCTCCAGGGCCGTGCAGGTGTATGACCATGCAGCCGACAGATGGAGCAGGGGTCCGGACCTCCCCAACGCCATCGCAGGCGTGTCGGCCTGTGTGTGTGCCCTCAACCCAAGGCTGGAAGAAAAGAAGAAGAGAAGCAAGGACAAGCGCCAGGACCGAGGTCAGTGACACCAAGGCTCTGGCAGGGCGGCCACATCCACAGTAGCTACTCCCTAGCAGCCTTTTGTACTTTTTTGATTCCTGGTATTTCTATACTATCACAGTTGATAATTAAATATCCTTCACAACTTTACACATTATCTTGTTTGAATACTTACACTTGGGCCCTCATATCTGCACAGGCCTACTTCCCGAGCTACACATCCCTGAAGGTCTGTGACTGTTGTCACCAACAATAGCTGGCTCACAGGTTCTATGGAAAATTTTGTAGTGATGTTAGATTCTCTAAGGTTTGGGCCTCCCCAAATCTAGCTGAAGCTTTTGCACAGACACTCAAGCTGTGCTGAAAGGCTGGAGGAGGCCTGTCCAGAGGCTTGAGTTCTGAGTGTCAGCTGCATTCTGCATTCGGTTGTCTCAGGCAAGAACACGCATGTCTGCTCTGCATTTAAGACATGGGGAGAGCCGGGCTTTGGTGGTGCACGCCTTTAATCCCAGCACTCAGGAGGCAGAGGCAGGCGGATCTCTGTGAGTTCGAGGCCAGCCTGGTCTACAAGAGCTAGTTGTAGGACAGCCTCCAAAGCTGCAGAGAAACCCTGCCTCGAAAAAAAAAGAAAAAGAAAAAATAAAAGACATGGGGACCCCCAGCTCCCTGACAGGCAGGCGAGCCCCAGGGACTCTTGATTTTCTTGCTGAAGGTTCCGTAGCAGCCGATCCTTTCCCTGAATAGTGTCATCTCCCCTGGCTGGTAACCTTTGGGAGTTCTGTACACGTCATTAAGAAAAAAGGGCGGAGAGAGTGGTGCGAACATGTTTCTGTACAGTGTTCTGTAGTGTGAGCTGCCCGCCTCTTGTCACTGCTGTAGTGAGCTCCCCAAATCTACCATCTGTTTTCTCAGAGATGAAAATGCAGTTCTGTAGTGTTTTCAGTCATCTCTCCGGGCTGGTGCAGCCATTGGGAGCACTGTACAAATGAATGCGCTGGTCCCCAAGAAGGTGGCCGAGTTCCTCCTAGCTCTAGCAACTGTCCTGGCCCCACTGGCTGCTGCCAAGTGGTCTTACCATGCTGGGAAGATTCTCTTTCTCAATTTCTTTCCTTCTTTCTTTGAAACAGGGTCATGCACTGTAGCCCAAGCTATCATCAAACTCATGATGATCCTCCTGTCTCAGCCTCCTGAATGCTGGGAACACAGGCACAGCCACCATACCCAGTTAGATTCTTTGGTGCTTTCATCTGTCATACCTCATGTCTTACTGGACAGCATCGGGAACGCCTCTCCAGCCCCACAGGAGATGGTTCCTTCTCTTGGTCTCGGTGGCACACTCTCAAGCCCAGGCAGATGTTAGTGATCTATACCTCTGGTTAGACAGCTCAAGACACTGTCATTAACACTGTGTCAGAAGCAAAACCTGAGCTCATTCGTTTTGTTGTTGTTGTTGTTGTTCTTGTTTGTTTGTTTGTTTTTGAGACAGGATTTCTTGTAGCCCAGACTGGCCTTAAATGCTTGATCCTCCTGCCTCTACGTCCCAAGTGCTGGGGGTCTTAAGGATTTGCTACTGTGGTGGTTAGAAATAAATTGGCCCCCAAAGAAAGAGGCATTATTAGGAGATGTGGCTGTGTTGGAGATGTGTTCTTGTTGGAGGAAGTGTGTCATTGTGGAGGTGGGCTTTGAAGGTTCGTATATACTCAAGATACGGCCCAGTGTCTCAGATCACTTCCTGATGCCTGTGTAAGATGTAGAACTCTCAGCTACCTCTCCAGCACCATGTCTTCCTGCATGCTACCGTGTCCCACGGTGATGATAATGGACAGAACCTCTGCACTGTAAGCCACCAACTCAATGAAATGTTTTCCTTTCTAAGAGTTGCCATGGTTTCTATTAACCCTAACTAAGAAAGCTACCATGCCCAAATGATCAGTTCACTTTTTCTCTTCTGCACTTCCTTCCCTCCAAACCTGGGTTCACTGTGGTTCTGGTCAGTCTGCTTCTGCATGACTCTGGAAGAGGGGAGACTGGCCTGAGGACTGAAGGCTTCAGAGTCTGCTGTCAGTCTGCATATCTAGTCAGTTACTGTGCGCGGAAGTCCCTAAGGACTCAGACGGTTGAAAGTTTCTGCAAGGCATGTAAACAAACAACCAGGGAGTTTTTGCCCTTCTGTGTGTTAAAGGCCCTGAGGAGTCTTGCACTAACTGTTCACTTCCATTGTTCCTCCATTTCCAAACTTGGACTTTGAAACTCTACCTCTTCTCCCCCTCTCCAATACTGAACTCCAGGACAGTGTAGCCATCCCCATTCCAAGAAAAACTTTATGTCTTAAAAACCCTTCAGAAAGCACAGTAGAAGTGTGACCTCTTCTCACAGATCATGAACACACAGGAGGGGGTGCAGCTGGAACTGGGCAGCCTCGGGAAAGCACCCAGTAAGGCTCCATGAATGGTTTGCAGAGCAGGACAGCTTTGACCCTGGGAAGAGGAAAGCCATGGATCCGAGCCTAAGGCAGCTCTGCCATTGCTCACTGCTGGTGTTTGCCCCAGATAAGACAGGACATGGCCTCCATTCTGCTTGGTGCCTTGTGGGTTAGCCACAATGTTCCTCCAGCATAGTCAGTGTGGCTAGTCACTTAGGTTAGGAATCTGCCACTGCAGCCACCGAGAGCCTTCCCTTAAAAGGATGGCTGGACTGTAAGTTTCACTGTGGACTGCTTTTTCTCATACTTTCTCATTGCCTTCTGCTTGGTGGGATCAGTGGAAAGGCCCGGAGCCCAGCAGCAATACCTGGGTCAGGTTTTTGTTACCTGGGGCTTTAATTGAAAATTTTATGCAAGAATAAAAGGAGCCGGGCGGTGGTGGCGCACGCCTTTAATCCCAGCACTCGGAGGCAGAGGCAGGCGGATCTCTGTGAGTTCGAGGCCGGGCTGGACCGACAGCCTCCAAAACAATACAGAGAAACCCTGTCTCGTAAAAACCAAAAAAAAAAAAAAAAAAAAAAAGAATAAAAGGAAACAGGTTCCCACTAGGACAGACAGCTTCCAGCTAACCCTGAGCAGGTGTCTGTTGGAATAATCGTGGCAGGCTTTGAATCAGACTTTACATCTTTTCCTTTATAGTTTTACCTTGTATTTGTTGTAGGGTTTTTTTTTTTTTTTTTGGAGCCCTGTTTGAATAAGGCAGAAATGCAATAAGAGATGGGGTGAGCAGGAAGCTCAGGGGCCTTTGTTTGCTGGTCCTCTTGGTGTTTGGCATCTGTATAGAGCAGCCAGATACTGAGGCACATGCCTGCCACCCAGACACTGGAGAGGCTGAGATCAGAGGAACTCCTAAGTCAGGGAGACCCAGGCCAGCTTGGGCAACACAGTGAGACCCTATGTTGCCCCCATCCCCAAATATACATGACTGTCTGGCACAGTTTATTCTATTTTATATACAATAGACCCCTGTTCTGGGCTGTGTGAATTTCCTTCCTGTCCCTAATTGTAAGGTGACCTGAACAGCCTTAAATGAGACCCAAGCAGTTAACACAGGTGGCGTTTTAGTCCTCCAGCTGAACAAGAATCTCTACTCCAACAACAATGTCCTGTGCGCAAGTTTGGATGTACTGACCTATGTCAGTATGTAAGTTCTATGTAAGCCCAGAGAAACCTTCTAGTGCTGAAAGTAAAAGGTGCCTGTCACCCCTTGCACCCTCTTAGAGAGTCACCAATTGTCCTTCCTTACCCTGGCCCCATGGTGTAGTGTTGGGCTGTACCTTTAGCCTGGGGTGTCCATCCTGCAGGGACAGCTGTTGCTGCCCTCTATAGTGGTACCTGACACCCCCCCCCAGGATAAACCTGCAGAATTCAGGGCAGCTTCATAGGAGACCCTGACTTGACCCTGACAAGCTGACTTTTTAGTATTTTCAAAACCGTTTTGATACTTTTTCATACAATTTGCTAATCACCATTTTGTAGAATGCCTGCTGGGGTTTCCCAGCTCTTCCCTTAGCTCCAGCACCTTGGTTTGTCTAGATACCCTGTTGTCATTGTGTGCCTTGCTTTGTGTGGCTTTGTCTTCCATCTTGCCCTTCTACGTAGCCAATCAAACACAACTCGAGTTTTGTGAGTCCAGATGGGTAGGACCATCAGAGGTCCCTGATTGAACCAGAGGGCACTGATGTACAGGAAGGCAGATCATGCCCTTCAGAGAATCTGTATTTTTCCTGGAGCTCCTGCTCAGTGGAGTGCAGAGTAGAAGAGTTACCTGAAGCTGATCTACACGTACTGTGTTTCAGACAGGTCATTTCTCTAACACATGTATGGCGGCTGATGTCCTGGTCTCTTCCTGTCTACCCCAATCAGTAAAAAACACCTAACTGAACCTCTGCAGCCTTAACACAGCATGCCATTCTTGCTCTCTGAACCTGACTTTCAGGTGGATGGTGTGTGGTGTGTGTGTGTGTGTGTGTGTGTGTGTGTGTGTGTGTGTGTGTGTGTGTGTGTGTGTGTGTAAGTGTGCGTGCCCGTGGTGTGATGTGGTGTGAATAGAATTGGTGGCTTCTAGGGAGAGCTGAGTGCCTTAACAAGCTGTGTCTCAGTTAACAGCATGGAACGGATGAGGCTGGGACTCCAGCTCAGTTGGGAAAGTGCTTGCCTAGCATGCAGGAAGTCCATGGCCTCCATCCCGAGCACCATGTAAACTGAGCATGGTGGCCCAAGCCCGTAATCTCAGCACCTGGGAGGTGGACACAGGAGGATCAGAAGTTTATGGTCACCCTTGACTATACACAGCAAGTTTGAGGCCAGTCCTGGCTACAGGAGACCCTGTCTCAAATTAAGTAGTGACATAATAATAAATTAACAGTAAAAATAAAAGCATTGGATGAACATAATAATGTGACTCTGTGTTGACCCAAGAAGAAAGGTCTTTAGGTTTGATATTAAATAGCCCCAGTTAAGTTTTATGATGATGGATACATTTGGTGCCTTCTGGCTCCTAATGTCACACAGATCTGTAACTGTATTTGCTTTTTAACCCACAGCTTTTATGTCTGTAATTTTATGCCCTTCAAAGTCTTCCTGTCTTGCCTCCTTAGTTAACTTTCTGCATGTTGCATTTGTTTTGACTTCCATACGGAGCTCTCAGTTCCTGAAACACATTAAAACAACTTGCCTGCCAGGGTGTGCTTTGTGTTATTTATTATGTGGTTGTGTTTCTATCTCCTCTGCTCTGTGAAGATGAGCCCCTGCATGTGGAGGACGTATAATTTGGAAATGAACCCGGCTTCCTTTGAACATTGTAAGAGACTAGGGGATTTCAGTGCTGCTTTAGTTGTGACTCTAATGACTGTGTTTACCCAGGAGTATTGTTCAGATCCTGATTGCCACACTGAATTCCTGCAACCTGAGATGTGTGTCAATTGGGGTAATTTGTTTAACAAAGAAAAAAAGCTGGAAATGGAGAAGTCTGGTTAGAGCCTGCAGTGGGTCCCCTTGATCAGAAGGACTGTGGCTGGGGGTGGAGCTCAGAGGGACTCTAGGTTTCATCCATCACATGTTTTACAAAACAAATATAAAAACAGCACTCTGGAGCCGAAGGCCGGAGGATTGCCACGAGTTTCAGACCACCCTGGGTTGCAGAGTGAGACTCTGTCTCAAAGAATCAAAAAGGAGGATCTGGAGAGATGGCTCAGAGGTTAAGAGCACTCGCAGCTCTTCCAGAAGTCCTGAGTTCGGTTCCCAGCAACCACATGGTGGCTCACAACCATCTGTAATGAGATCTGGTGCCCTATTCTGGCCTGCAGGGATACATGCATAATAAATAAATAAATCTTAAAAAAAAAAAAGAATCAAAAAGGAAACAGAATCTCCTCTCTCTCCGGGGGCCTGTGGGGCTGAGGCTGGCTCCCTGCCTGCAAGTTTTAACGAGGCTACCTGTGGACAAGCCAGTCACCATTGGGTGCCTTCAGGTAATCCAAATCTATAGAATGAAGGGACCTGCACACCTCACACCTGGAAGTTGCCTATCACACATTCCTCCCCTCAATATTCCCAGGTCATCAGTTCAGAGCCTAGCTTAGTGACCCTGCTGAATGTAACTACCATGCCACCCGACAGTCAGTGGTCAGTTGTCTGTGTTTATGAGCTTTCAGGGTGATGAGATGGGAAGAGGAAGCTTACTTAGTCTTTTGTGGGGTGACATGAATCACAGCCAAGTAGGGTGACCATCATTTGTGACATGGAGGAATGGGAGCATTGGCTCAGCAAAGCTGCTCTTACCTGAGGCTCACAGTCGTGGAGTCACCCATTCCATGGGGTGGGGGAAATCCCAAAAGTTAGTTAGTGTAGGGGTCTCTTTGACCTCCATGGCCAGCAGAGTATCAATCTGTATAAGGCAAGAAGGCAGTTGAGTAACTGGTGTTGGTTCAAACTTCAGGAGTCTGACCCTAAGTAGTTTGTTTTAGTCATATTTAAGCACAGCACAATTTGGTGAAGATGTTGCTGGTGATAATTAACTCAATCCTGGGTATACAATAAAGTACACAGTACACATGAATCTCCATATGGAACAAAGTAGACTAAGATCAGACAAGACTACATAGAAACTCTTTGTAAAGTACATGTGACACCTTCCAAAAAGATGGGTTCTATAGATGACTAAGAAAAACATGCTTATGAGAATCTGAGGGAGAAAAAAAAAAAAAGAATCTGAGGGAGGGAGGCTGGGTGTTGGTGGCACACGCCTTTAATCCCAGCACTCAGGAGGCAGAGGCAGGCAGATCTCTGTGAGTTCAAGACCAGCCTGGTCTACAAGAGCTAGTTCCAGGACAGCCTCCAAAGCCACAGAGAAACCCTGTCTCGAAAAACCCAAAAAAAAAAAAAAAAAAAAAAAAAAAACAGACTCTGAGGGAGGGTTGGGTGTGGTCTCTAACCACACAGATAGTCAAAAGGTCACCAAGCTATTAAACATGTCCACTCCCAGTCTTCTGGGCAGATAACAGGTTATGTATCCCTTCCCTTGAAGGAACAACCTTGTGTGTTTAACATTCCAGGTTTTCCTAGTGCTTATCTGTGAAGACAAGGAACAACTTGGGTTTCTCCCTACAGGCTCTTTCCCTCATGCTTCCTCTTGTCTTTGATACCCCTGATCTCTATCTCTCCATATGGTGACCTGATGTGAACATCTGACATGGAAACCAGAGGGAAGGTCCCCAGTGTAATGAGTGAAGGTTTCATGACTGTGTGTGTGTGTGGGGGGGGGTGTTTCAAGACTGGGTTTCTCTTTGTAGCCCTGGCTGTCCTGGAACTCACAGACCAGGCTGGACTGAAACTCACAGAGATCCACCTGCCTCTGCCTCCCGAGTGCTGGGATTAAAGGCGTGTGCCACTACTGCCTGGCAGGTCTCGTGACTTTTTATCCGAGCCTGAGAATCATGCATTGTCACTGTTGTATACCACTCCTGGGGGCAGTCACAGTTCTTCCTGCTGAAAGACAGGTCAGTGACATGGTGGACCTGTCCCTGAGTCCTAAGGACCTGTCTGCTGAGCCCAAGGCAGCAGAGAACAGAGGGTGCCACACACATCTTTACACTTCAGCAGGACTGCCCCAGATGCTTGACATAACTCTGCCTTTGGCTGTTCATGCAGGAACCTGCACCCAAGATCTGAGAGGCAGTGGGGCAGAAAGAAGTGATGTGTGGGTTGGTGACAGAGCTCAGTGTTAGAGCTCTGTGAATTCAAGGTCAGCCTGGTCTACATAGTAAGGTCCAGGAGAGCCATAGCTACATAGAGAAGCTCTGTCTCAAAAAAATAAAAATAAAAATAAAAAAAAATAAGCACTCAGAGGAAGGGGGTAAGCAATGAGAGATGGGGAGGATGGAAGAGCATGAGGAATGGAGGAGGCCTGTGCCCAGCCCAAGTCTCCAAAGGAAAGAATTGGACACTGGTGGGCACACAAAGGGGCCTGGGTCAGGCAGATGGCTCATGCCTGTGATCCCAGCACTCAGGAAGCTGAGGCAGGAGGATGGCAAGTTCCAGGCCAGCCGAGGCTGTGAGCAGACCCACGGAGACAGGAAGCACCTTGGTGACTGCCTGAAGGGGGGATGGTGAGAGGGAAGTGGGGACAGCTGTGCATCCCCATGACTGTATGAAAAATCATTAGGTTGCACACTTAAGGGTTGGGAAGACAGCGCAGTGGTTAAAAGCCCTTGCAGAAGATTCAAGATGGGTTCCCCGCAACCATAATCTGGTGACTCAACTGCCTCTGACTCTAGCTCTAGGGGATCAGCTGATGTCCTCTTCTGCCCTCTGTGGGCACTGCACTCCTGCCCCCCCCCACAAACTTCCACATAACTAAAAGTAAATAAATCTTTTTAAATTTTATGCACTTGCCAGGTCATGGTGGTGCACTCCTTTAATCCCAGCACTTGCTGTTGTTAAAATGTCTAGGTTTACCCAGTAAGGAGACACAAACCGTGACTCAACGATCCCACGTGGAGTTTATTGGTGGACAGGGAGGGAAAGGGGGGTGAGAGGTAACCAACCCGTGCAGAGCTGAGAGAGAGAGAGAGAGAGAGAGAGAGAGAGAGAGAGAAGGAGGAAAGAGGAGAGGAGATGGAGAGGAAGACGAGAGTAAGCAGGCAGGGGTCAGTCTTTTAAAGGGGTCCCTTTGTACCTGCGTGGTTCTCACAGAACTCTGCGCTGGCCAGAGTGTTGCCTGAGTGCATCTTGCCAGGTAACAGGGCAAGCCAGCTTAATGCCTAAACCTTTCACTTGGGAGGCAGAGGCAGGTGGATTTCTGTGAGTTCAAGGCCAGCCTGGTCTATAGAGTGAGTTCCAGGACAGGCTCCAAAGCTACAGAGAAACCGTGTCTCGAAAAACAAAAAACAAAAAAAAATTGTGTGCACTTAAAGAGTCTATTAGATAGTATATGAATTATATCTCAATAAAGCCATTTACAGAATTAAGCTAACTAAAGCAAAGGTGCACCTCATTCTTCTTGCCCTGTTGACTCTAAAGAACTACAGATTGTAAGCCAGGACTTTATTTGTTTGCTTAGGTTTTTTTTTTCAGGACAGGGTTTTTGTGTGTAGCCCTCGCTGTCCTGAAACTTGCTTTGTAGACCAGGCTGGCCTCGAACTCACAGAGATCCACCTGCTTCTGCCTCTCCAGTGCTGGGATTAAAGGTGCATGCCACCACCGCCCAGCTAAAGATTTCTTTCTTTTTTTTGGTTTTTCGAGACAGGGTTTCTCTGTATTGTCTTGGAGTCTATCCTGGAACTCGCTCTGTAGACCAGGATGGCCTCAAACTCACAGAGATCCACCTGCCTCTTGCCTACCGAGTGCTGGGATTAAAGGTGTACGCCACCAACACCCGGCTAAGATTTATTTCTAACATGGTGTTAAAGTGATATGGTTGGGCCTGGTGGTGGTGGTGGTGGTGCATACCTTTAATCCCAGCACTCGGAAGGCAGAGGCAGGCAGATCTCTGTGAGTTCGAGACCAGCCTGGTCTACAAGAGCTAGTTCTGGGACAGTCTCCAAAGCCACAGAGAAACCTGTCTCGAAAACAAACAAACAAACAAACAAAAAAAATGATATGGTTGGAGGCCAAGGAGATGGCTCAGGGTAGGGCTCATGTTGCCAAACCTAATGTCCTAAATTTGATCCCCAGGACCTTCATGGTAGAAAGAGAACTGACTCGTGGAAGTTGTCCTGGAAACTCCACAGGCACCTGGTGGCATGCGCCCCTTCCCTCACAATAAATAAAAATTTAAATGGAAGCTTGTGTGGTTGCCTCATGGTGCCCTCCAGGTGGCACTGTGGAGCAGCATGCCTCAGTTCTGGATCAGCTTGTGCTGGAGACACTCAGGACGGAGCCATTAGCCACTCCTGAGACTGATAGGTGTGTCTCTCTCTCCTAGCACAGCTCCCTGAAACCCTTCAGTGCTCACAGGCCTTCCTGGAACCCCTGCCAACAGCCAGATCTGTGCCTGCTTTATTCTAGTCAAGACACAGATCATAGGCCTTCTCCCAGGTAAGTTCAGGCTGCTGTGGTAGCCTGTGAGTCCAGGATTGAGGCTGGAGTGACCTCAGCGGGAGCTCACACCTGCTGCCCCACTAGGAGGATGACTCTCTCTGCTGCCCTTCCTGTTGATGCAGCAGGAAGCCCTGGGGTCTG